TCAGTACCAGCACATCCGCTCCAACCACGCGCTGCCCCGCGGCGAGCTGCTCCCCCTCTTTGTCAACCGCTCTGGCCGCGAGAGCATGCCTCAGCCGTGCGAGCGCTTCGGCGTGCACGAGAAGCTCCCATATCTGAAGACGCTCTATGAGGAGCGGGACTTGACCTTCCTGGCGAATGTCGGCCCTATGGTGGAGGAAGTCTTCGACAAGACCACCTACCTTCGCGGCGAGAAGCGCGTGCCACAAAGCCTCTTTGGCCACCGCCAGCAGCAGCAGGCCACCCTCAACGTGAAGGCGGACGACCTGGCCGCCCCAGGCGTCATCGGCCGCATCTTCGCGGCACTCGGCGAGCAGCCGGACGCGGCACCCCCGAAGCGCACCGCGTACTCGCTTAGCTCCTCCTACAACAAGCAGCTGCTCGAGGCAGACGGCGCGCCGCGGCCGATTGTGCTGTCCAAGAGCAGCGAAGGCGTCGAGCGCTACCGCTGGTACTCAAAGTACCGCGATCATTTTGACAACGTGACGGGCAGCCGGTCCGCAAGCGTGTTTGCGGACACGCAAATGGAGCTCATGCGCCACTCGCTGGAGGGCAACGAGGAGTTTGCGGATCTGATCGAAGGCGGTGGCTCGGGCGGCGCTTTCCCAGACACGGAGGTCGGGCGACAGCTGGCCCAAGTGGCACGGGTGATCCAGGTGCGGCAGGCCCTCGCGTCGGAGCGAGACGCCTTCTTCGTCGAGATTGGTGGCTTCGACGCGCACTCGAGCCTGGGCGCGCTCGGAGAGCAGTTTGAGCAGATCAACGCGGCCGTGCGGGCATTCGTTACCGAGGTCAAGAGGCAAGGCGCATGGGATCAGGTCGTACTCCTCCAGGCGTCCGAGTTTGGGCGCTCGCTCAAGTCGAACGGGCAGGGCACGGACCACGGCTGGGGCGGTATCTACTGGCTCGCCGGCGGGACGGTCCGAGGCGGCGGCATGCTCGGCAGCTACCCCGACTCGCTCCTGGAGGACGGCGAGCTCGTGCTCGACGGCGGCCGCATGGTCCCCACAACGCCGTGGGAGGCCGTGTGGTCCGGGATCGCGCAGTGGCTCGGTGTGGCGGAGCAGCACTTCCCTTTTGTCCTGCCCAACCTGCCCAACTTTCATGCCAGGCACGCATGGAGCGCCGACCGGCTCTTTGCCCCACCGCCGCCTTCGCCGCCACCTGCTGCGCCATCCCTGCCCCCCTCTCCGAGCCCACCGACACCACCAGCACCGCCGTCGCCATTGCCGCCTATGCCACCACGGCCGCCCTCGTCGCCAAGTCCGCCGCCCGCTCCCGCTGCGCCCTACGCCACGTGCACGGACTGGTGCCTCGAGGGCAACCAGTGCAACGGGGCGTGGCGCCTTGTCAAGAGGCCCGACGGACGGGGTCGTTGGACGCGCTGCTTCTTTGACGGATGGCGAGGCATCGACACGTACGAAGTACGAGGTGGCCTGTCAACCGCACGTCATACCGACCCGAACTCCTGCCCGCCCGGCACCGACATCTGGGTACCGAGGACGCACACCTTGCTAACCGCAGTGAGCGACTATTACGGCGAGGTGGCGCGGCGTCTTGTTGGCGTGTACGGCACGACGAACGGTTGCGGCGGCTGCAAAGACTACGCAATGAACAGCGACGAGCCCATGCAGGCAGCCGTTTGGACGTCGGTCGGACCGAGCACCGGTGCGCCGGCGTGGCCGTGGTTTCTACGGGCGACGCCGCACTCGGAGCCTGATGGGGACTACACGGCCGGCTGCTGGCTTCACAACGTGCACAAGCCTACAGCCTTGGCTCCGATTGGCGGCATCGACCGGCACGGGCTTCGCTTCAAGGACCTCTCGTGTCGCGCCAGCAGGGAGGACTATGTGTGCTCCTCCAACGCCTGGCCCTCTACCCCTCCTCCTGCACCACCTCGGCCCCCACCTCAGCCACGCCCGCCGCCGCCACCGCCGCCGCCCCCGACACCGCCCAAGACGTGCACCGAGTGGTGCACGCTCGCCGGTAAGTGTGAGAGCGGAGCGAGCCGCCGAGTGTTTGTGGGCGGGAGCTATCGAACGACGCGCTGCTTCTTTGACGGATGGCGCGGCATTGACACATATCCGGTCACGAATGGCGAATGGACACGGCATCACACCGATCCCAACTCCTGCCCGCCCGGCACAAACATCTGGGTGCCGAGGACGTACACACTCCTCAAAGCAGTGAGCGATCACTACGGCGAGCGGGCATGGCACCTTGTCGGTGTGTACGGCACGACGAACGGCTGCGGCGGCTGCAAGCGAGCAGCCATGAACAGCGACGAGCCCTCACAGGCGTCCGCCTGGACGTCGGTCGGGCCGAAGACCGGCGCCCCCGCGTCGCCATGGTTCCTGCGGTCGGCGCCGTACTCGCAGCCCGATGGGGACTACGCAAAGGGCTGCTGGCTCAAGGGTCTAGGCACCGACGGGTTGGGCCTCGTCATCAACGATTTCTTGGGCCGCGACGGCGGCTGTGGCTGGGGCTCGGGTCGATACGTCTGTTCATCCAACGAGTGGACCAGCAACCCGCCACCTCCCCCAACCCCGCCGCCGCCCCCTTCCCCCCCCTCGCCGCCGCCCTCCCCGCCAGCGCGGCCACCGACTCCGCCCCGATTGCCGCCCCGGATGCCGCCGCCGCCGCCGCCCTGGGTAAACCCCTCACCGTGGGCATCGCGAGAAGGCAGCAAGGTGTTCGAGTTGCTACCTAGCTACAAGAGCTGCGATGGGTCGACCGTCAAGACGGTGCGTCCTCGACCGGTGCAAGACGACTTCACCATCAGGTTCGAGGTGCGCTTCACCCGCGAGTGTGGCGCGTCGGACATCGACATCTGGAGCAAGGGTTGCGGCTTGGTGGACGCCGACGCGAAGGGCGGGCAGAGGTTTGGCGTCGGCGCGAATGACTTTGGCATCAGTCAAGGGCGAGGGCATCTCATGTTTGGCATCGGCAACCCAGACCGCACCATCCGGACCGTGGCAAAGTATGACGACGGGAAGTGGCACCGCGTCGTGGCCAGCCGCGAGCGCGCATCAGGCCGCTTCTCGCTCGCGGTCGACGGCGTCCTGATTCGCGAGACCTACGGCAGCCGGAACCGGCTGAGCGCGTCCGCAACCTTGACGATCTGCGGGAGCAACATGCTACACAACAACTTTTTCGGCGATCTGCGCGCCCTAAGAATCTACGATCGGGCTTTTGACGCCTCTGAGCCGGGCCTCTGAGGGGGTTGGCCCCCGAGCTCGGAGACACAATTCAGCTTCCTCAGTTTTCGCTCTCCCCTGTGCCTCCGTTCGACTTGGCCGTCACCCATGTGCATGTTCACTCAAACCACTCTTGATACTCTATGTTTAGATTCTGTTCACTGGTTGTCTCACTTTTTTGTGGTATCCACTCATTGTATGATATTCCCAGAGCGCCGCGGGTGCATGAGCTCGAAAGCATGTGACCGCTTGCGACTCAGCACGAGGGCGGAAAAGATACCAACGGGCTGTGACTTCGACTACATATCAGGGGAAACAGCTCGGCGCCACGCGGTGCCCAGGAGCCGGAGAGCTCATATCACCCAGAGCAGCAGAGGAGGAGATCGCACAAGCAAGCATTGGGTGGGAGCGAGCGTGGGTGGCGTCCTCTCTCTCGTCGCACGACACTAAGGCGACTCACCGCGACTAGAGTGGGGTTCGGGGCGACACATTGGGCCCCATCGCAAATGTCGTTGTCTCAACGCGGCCCGCTCTGCGCCATTGCGGCCTACCTAGCATCCGTACCGTGGCGACTCCGCCTGCAGAGCCGCCGCCCCGTCCCGAGGCTGGACGCGCCCCTGGAAGTCCTAGTACGGGGCGGTGGAGGGGCCCGCCTCGCCAGAGCGGTCAGTGGAGGGCCCCGCCTCGCCGGAGCGGTCCGAGGACGACGAGGACGCCTCGCCAGAGTCCTCGCCGGGCGGCGAGTAGGCGCCCGACGGGGAGTAGGCCCCCGACGGCGAGGGGGCGCCGGGCTGGTAGTAGGCGCTCGACGGCGAGGGGGCGCCGGGCTCGTAGTAGGCGCCCGAAGGAGAGGGGGCGCCGGGCTCGTAGTAGGCGCCGGAAGGAGAGGGGGCGCCGGGCTCGTAGTAGGCGCCGGAAGGAGAGGGTGCGCCGGGCTCGTAGTAGGCGCCCGAGGGAGAGGGGGCACCGGGCTCGTAGTAGGCGCCCGAGGGAGAGGGGGCACCGGGCTCGTAGTACGGTAGCTCCTTCTTTTCCTCGTAGCCGGCATAGTACGCCTCCTCCTTCTTGTCCTCGTAGACGGCCTCCTCCTTCTTGTCGTCCTCGTAGCCGGCCTCGTCTTTGCTGTCCTGGCCGTAGCTCGCCGTCTCGTCGCCAAAGAGGTCGCTGTAGAGCTCCTTCTTGCGCTCGGCGGGCATGTCTGCGCGGGGCAGGGCGGGCGGCGTGGGGGGCCGGCGGGCGGGCGGGAGGAGGCATGGGCAGCGAGGGCTGGGGAGGGGGGGGGGGGGGGCGTCTCTCGGCTCGCGCACAGCAGATGCCGATCTTTGGGTTCGAGTGGGTGCAGCACCACTTGAGGTACTTGCCGCACTTGTCGCCGTGGCGGCAGTACGCCCAGAGGAGCAGCAGCAGGGGTGCGCCGGGCACGAGGAGGAGGAGGAGGAGGAGCCACCAGAGCCGTGACGGATCAACCGGGACCGGAGGGGGGACCGGAGGGGGCGGGTCGATGATGATGAACTTCTCGGACTCCGTGTTCAAGCAGGCGCACATGTCGGCAGATTTTTCCGAGAGGTCGGGAGAGCCTACCGCGAGACAGAGGTCGGCGAGCCCGTGGCTCTCCGCGCAGACTTTGCTGACGGTCTGCGCCGTCTTGCCCAGCTCGCCGAACCTCTTCATCAGCGAGTCGTACTTTTGGTCGACGGTGCCGTCCACCTCCGGGCCGAGGCGCCAGTCGAGGAGGAGGTTGTCGACATGGCCGTGCACCAACTCGGGCTGGAGCGCCGACGGCTCTTGCAGCGAGCGGAGGAGCTCCTCGCCGTCTTCGGCCAGGCACTCCTCGATGGTCTCGCCGAGGGTTGTGCCGGTGGCGCTGGTCGCCGCGTCGACGAGCGAGCCGACGCCCGCGGTCCGATCAAACACCTTGCCCGTGTCCGGGGGGGTCCAGTACGGCTCGCTGCCGCCTGCAGCGGTGATGCCGGCCCCGACAGCATCCTGCACCGCGCCGTCGGCGGTCGGAAAGTCCGCCGGAGGGTCGTCGCACGGGCCGGCGATGTCGGAGATGGCGGACCCGATGAGGCTCGGGGAGAGGGTGGCGATCCAGTACGCGTACAGGCCCGAGTAGACTTCGTCCTCCGCGACCGCCTGCAGGCGGCGGCGTCCCGCCTGGCCCGACGAGATGAAGGCTTTCGTCTCGCGCACCACGTCGTACACGCACGGGTCGAACGGGAACACGCTGCTGGACCCGGCGCTGCGATGGAGGCTGTCGGTGGGGGGCGTGATGAAGCCGCCACGGCACTGCGGCGGCGTGAAGAGCGAGGCGCGCAGCGGGACCCCGGTGAGCACGTCGACGCACGTCTCGGCGCGCGCCACCACGAGCGGCATGCTCTCGGCCTTGTCCTCCTCGACCTCGACGAGGAAGGTGCCGCTCTCGCCCGTCTTGTCCTTGGCCGTCGGCTCGCCCTCGTCGAGCTCGCCGTTGCCGTTGTAGTCGGCGAAGACGGTGCAGCCCTGCAGGTTGCCAACGACCCTGGCTGTCCCCCGCAGCGGAACAACCTTGATCGGCGCGGGAGGAGGCGCCTTGGGAAGCGGGGGTGCTTCCGGGAGAGGAGGCGCGTTTGGCAGCGGAGGCTCCTTCGGGAGCGGAGGCTCCCTCGGGAGCGGCGGCTGCTTCGGGAGCGGCGGCAGCGAGGGCTGCGGCGGCGGTGGCGAGGGCTGCGGCGAGGGCGGCAGCGACGGCGGCGGCGAGGGCGATGCCGACGGCGGCGGCGAGGGCGATGCCGACGGCGGCGGCGAAGGCGATGCCGACGGCGGCGGTGATGGCGATGCCGACGGCGGCGGTGATGGCGATGCCGACGGCGGCGGCGAGGGCGATGCCGACGGCGGCGGCGAGGGCGATGCCGACGGCGGCGGCGAGGGCGATGCCGACGGCGGCGGTGAGGGCGATGCCGACGGCGGCGGTGACGGCGACGCCGGGGGTGGGGGCGAAGGCGGGGGTTGCGGCGGCACTGGGAGCGAGGCCACCGAGGGCATCGGCATCGGTGGCACCGGTGGCACGACGGATGGCACGTAGGGCGGCACGTAGGATGGCACGAAGGACGGCGTGACCGGGAGCGACGTCGGCAGCGAGACTGGCACTGGTGCAAACGACGGCAAGGCAGAAGTAATGGACGGCATCGGCGGGACGTGGGACGGCGTTGATGGGATCGAGGGCAGAGGCGCAAACGACGGCAAGGCAGAAGTAATGGACGGCATCGGCGGGACGTGGGACGGCGTTGATGGGATCGAGGGCAGAGGCGCAAACGACGGCAAGGCAGAAGTAATGGACGGCATCGGCGGGACGTGGGACGGCGTTGATGGGATCGAGGGCAGAGGCGCAAACGACGGCAAGGCAGAAGTAATGGACGGCATCGGCGGGACGTGGGACGGCGTTGATGGGATCGAGGGCAGAGGCGCAAACGACGGCAAGGCAGAAGTAATGGACGGCATCGGCGGGACGTGGGACGGCGTGGCCGGGAACGACGCTGGCAGCGAGAGAGGGAGGGAGCCGGGTAGCGATGCTATCGAGGGTTCCGTTGGGAAAGAGATCGGCTCAGGTCCAGGCGGGAGGGACATTGGCAGGCTGCCGACGGGAAGCGACGACGGGTCGGGTCCAGGTGGGGTAGGCGGGAGAGAGACCGGCAGGCTGCCGATCGGCAAGCTGCCGTACGCAGCAGAGTTTCCGAATGAAACAAGCCGCCGCCGCTGCCAGGCGTGAATGTCTTCCCGGGCCGCGCCGCCGCCTGGAAGAGGGACGGCCGCGATGGCGAGGTCCAGCTCGAGGGCGAGGTCCGGGTCGAGGTCGGGGTCGGGGAGGAGGTTCGGCACGAGCGGCGCAGCGCCGCCGAGCGCGTACACGGCAGCCTCGTAGCCGAGCGAGTCGGCGGAGCCCGACTCAGGCAGCGGCTCGCACGTCTTGAAGAAGGCGCAGACGGCCCACAAGCTGCTCTCGTCGCGGGAGGTCTCGAAGGCAGTGCAGCCCTCGGTCTCGGCGCACCGGCGCGCGCACTTGACCTGTGGGGGGGGGGGGGGGAGTGTGGGTGTTTTAGGATTTTATGGTTTTAAAGGGGCGGGGGGGGGGGC